ATTACCCCTTCTCCTCCCCTCCCTCCCCCTCCTCCTCTCTTTCTCTCTCTCTTCCTCCCCCCATGACACACAGTGCAGGAACAGGGAAAGGAGCAGCTTAACTGGGCTGGACGCATCTAATGAGGACTCGTGTTATCTCCTCGAACCCACCCAGCAGGCAGCCCCATCACTAGCTACCTCATTCCGCAGATGCACACACTGAGGCTGAGGACCGTCGCTCACAATTAGTAAGGCTCGGAGCCAGAATTGTACCCTTGGCTTCACTCAGGAGCTATCTTGCCACCAAATGATGCAAATACAGCAATAAGGACAGTCTACAGAAATGTTGAGGATGTGGAACCCACCACATGCATACCCATCCTTTGGGGTTGATTAAATAAGTTATGGCCCGGCCCTTAGAAAGGAAAGCTGTGCAGCTGCTGGCGGTGTCCCACGTGTATGCAGGAGCCAAAAGGCAACTTATAGACCAGGAAACCCCATCTTGTTACAACAATACACCCCATGCATCTTTGTGCAGATTTTAAAATCTGGAATAATGTCCCCAGACTGTTAACAGCTATTATAATCCCCAGGGGCTGCGGTTGAAGAGCTGGGATGTCCAGGAACTTCTACCTTCTGGATTATTTTATTTTACTGCGGTCTGTATGTACTACTCTGGAAATCAGAACAAAACACTGAGGATTTTAGGAGACCCCAAATAAATTAAACAAACTTAAATTCACTCACTGCGTCCTCCCAACCATTCTAGGCCATTGATAATACTTTTGAGCCCATTTTACAGGATCAGAGAGATGAAAAACTGTGCCCTGTGTATAGAAAATGGCTTGGCTAAGTTCAAACCTCGGCATGGCTGGCTCCAGCACCCCACAGCAAGCAGGGCTCAGATCACATGCCAACCAGGATAGGCTGTTGGTGGCTGCCCAGGCCAGTGTGTTGAGAAGGATGCAGAGGCTGAGAAACAGTGCTGGGAAGAGTTGCTCATGTCTGCCCCGGGCACCTTTCCCTTGGGACCGAGCTGGAATAAGGATACTGCAGCTAGAGCCTGGTTTATGCATATTGAGCAACTGCTCATGCCAGGGTCTCCTCTAAGCATTTCATGGTCATTTTCTCCTAGTTGAATGAATGATTGTAGAGCAAATGAATGAAGATGTGACCTTTGTGTGCTTTCAGGAGACCACACACAGGAAGAGCCTGACCCCCTCCTGGAAATGCCGGTGAACTTTCCCCTGTTCCTGCAGCACCCCTTCCGAAGGCATCTCTGTTTCTCTGCAGCCACAGGGGAGGCGCAGCGTGCGTGGAGGCTTGCCCTGCAGGGTGGCATCCGGCTTCGTGGCACAGGTGGGTTCTGGGGAAGGTCAAGCAGTGGGGGCTCCTGGCTTGGGGTCAGAGGGCTCTGCTCCTGCTGACTGTGGGATCCACTCCAAGTCTCAGTTTCTTTACCTATAAAATAGGTTGTGGCGGGAGACAGATGGGATAGGGCTGTGATGGGGGACAGCCTTGTGGGAGCTTCCCCTGGGGGATCAGGAAGGGCTTCTAAGAGGAGGAGATGTCAAAGTTGGGGTCCAAAAAAGATGAGGGGCCAACCATGTGGTAAAGGGAACAGGACCAACATATACAACTGGGCAGTGGGGAATGCGGTGCAGCCTGGCCTGTGACTGCCGGCAGGGGATGCCTTTCCCTACACCGTATAAAGGCTCCTTACGGACTGATGGTCTTGGAGGAGCGTTTTCCCCGCGGAGGGCGCTTCTTGTGCAAAGGTCTGGAGGTGGGTGAGACCTGGGTGTTTGGGACGCGGTGAGGAGGCAGAGGGCTTCCTTCCTCTCGGGGAGATGGGGAGCCCGGCAGACATGAGAGCAGAGGAGGGGTGAGCGGGCCCTGAGGAGCCGCCTCTCCCCCGACCCCCCAGTCCTGCAGCGGAGTCAGGCTCCTGCCGCGCGTGCCTTCCTGGAGGCCATACGGCTCTACCGGCAGCACCAAGGCCACTTTGGCCATGACGACATCACGCTGGGCTCGGACGCGGAGGTCAGTGCTGTTCAAGGCCGCACCGGGACCCTCAGGAACCCTCCCGGCCTTCCGCGGAGCCCACGGCCCCCTCTCCTGCAGGTGCTGACCGCAGTGCTGGTGTGGGAGCTGCTGCCGGGGCTGCGAGCCCAGACTCAGCCTGGCTTGCGGGGGGCCGGCCGAGCCAGAGCCTGGGCCTGGACCGAGGTACCTGGCGGGATGTAGGAGGTGCCGCAGGAACACACGGTGGCGGGGGTGGGGGGCCCGGAGGGGCCGGGAGCCAGACCCGGGCACCCAGCCTCGCCCTTCCCGCGACCGTCGCCTAAACTCTCCCTATCTCTCCGCGTCCTCGCTGCTCCCACCCCTCCGTCCCTTGCTGCTGGCCCCTGGGCTGGCCCGGGCAGCTCCTGGATGCGGTTCACGCCACCGTCCTGGCCGGGGCCTCTGCGGGGCTCCGCGCCTTCCAGCCCGAAAAGGACGAGCTGCTTGCGGCCCTGGAGAGGACCCTCCGGCCGGACGTGGACCAGATGCTGAGGCTGCGGGGGCGCGTGGCAGGGAAGCTGCGGGGTGAGGCCCGGGGGCCGGGGCCTGGCGAGGCGGGGTCTAGACGAGGCGGGCCCGACGGAGGCCCGCGGGGAGCCTGAGGGGCAAGGGGGAGCTGGGTGGGTGTAAGGGGCGGGACCTAGC